AACTGAGCTGTTGGCTGAACAAGTGAGAAACATCAAAAAGTGAGCAGATGGTCCGACTGCATATCGAATTCATATGCTCTACGGTTCTGTCATTCAGGTCGTGTCATGCCTTTATTAAATGGGAATTGCGAGCACTGGCAAGAGTCAATTTGTTGCTTAAATAATTATTGTATATATTTCATTTATTTAGAAGTTGGAGTTATTATAGAATTAAAAGTAACCCATCGAGTTCAGCGGCGTCATTAGACAGACAGACATGCCACAGTCAGCTCTCTTGGCAGAGCTTAGCCCAGGCTCAGCGTCAATTGAATTCCGCCCATGAGTATGCAACACTTTCGCTTTGCCCTGCCACCATTTGGGGCTCATTACAGTGAATTGTGCCCACGGGGCGTTTCGTGTCAATTTATGCAACTCTCCTGCAATTTCCGGTATATTTAAGCAATTTCCAGCAGAACAGCCCTGGACATGGTCATGACTTAATGCATATGAATATGTGCGAGTGGTGCGAGTGATGCTGCATAGTGGATGTGAGTGTGTGCGGATGTGGGTGTGGGTGTGTGACGGAAATGCTCCCCTGGGCACTGGACCGACCAAGCCAAGTCGTAGGAGTTGGGGCTCTGCCAGCGGCAAAGCTGCTCAGATTTAATGCCAAAAGCCAAGACTCTTAGTGTGGCCAATATCTGCGCAGAGTTGGCCAACAGCTTTTCAATTTTCCACCTAAATCAGAGTTTAGCGCCCCGCGGCGAACCCTTTGCTTCCACCCATTGATGGAAGACACACTCACGGATGAGACGCAATAAAAATGATCCACAAAAAAAAGAAAAAAAAAAAAAAAAAAGAGATTGCGTAAAACTGTCAAAACGTTTTAACGGCATTGGAAGCAGCACAATAAAAATGAAAATCAAAATGAAAATGAAAATTCACAAGCAGCCAAATGCAATTTATATGGCGGGTGGGTCTTCAAGTGCTCCTGGTCCTGCTGCTGCACCCAGGGGGACTGTTTGATTTACCGTCAACAGGAGATTAAAAAAAAAACTGAACCCAAAAAGTGAATTAAGAATTTGTGTGGTGGAACGAAGCAACCAATCGGAGGGTGGTTTGTTGCCACAGCTCTGGCCGGGTGGGGCAAATTGAGTTGCAACACTTGGCAGGTTTTTATCTACGCACCACAATCGAACCAGCCACGCAGACAACCAGCCATTCGGGTGGTTTGCCCACCAAAAGCCCGACTCTGCCAACAACGTACTGACCAACCAGCAACGGCCAGGACTAGCAACAACTGTGTTTTGTATTGCTGCGCGTTGATAACAAGATTTGTTTTTCAAAATTATGGAGGGTCGGCACTTAATTACGTTGAAAAGCGCAACACAGCCACAGCCACAGCCACAGCCAGAGGCAGAGCCAGAGCCACAGGCAGAGCCACAGAAGCCACATCCCACATTCAGTGTCAGGCGGCAATTTAACTAAATTAATTTTAAAGCGTGCCTCGTTCTTCGATCTGTGAAAAGTGCCGGCAGAAGTCAAGAGTGTGTGTTTTGGCCCTTGCTTGATTTTGGCCAGATACGAGTATGGCCAACACAGGCAGACAGCCAGACAGAATAAGGGAGATCCTCTGCCTGATAGAGAGGGTAGCGACACACCCTCCTTAGACAAATGTGGCTGCCAGTCAGACAGTCAGAGAGTCAGAGAGACATGGATATTCCATTAAAGCAGCCAGCCGAATTGAACAATTTACACTTTATGATTTATTGTAATGAGCTTTTTATTTACGGCCGCTCGTTTCATTGTTGAAAAGTGTCTGCGCGTTGCCTGCTTGAAGCTTGTTTCAGAAAATTAAAAATTAATTAGGCATTTATCATTCCCTGTATACCCGTTTTGAGAATCGCTGGCAGATGGCTCGAGTTTGAGTTTTAGAAACGGGTGTGCATGCAATCCGAAATAGGCTTCATCCCATCGATTCTGAGTGCAATTTGAGAGCAACAGAATATCTAATATATATTCAACTTGGAATCAGACTTGCTTCACCCCAGACTGCAAGTGTGTCAGTGTCTTATTCTAAAATGCCTTAAGCCACACACGGCCCAAGTGAGTATCATTTAAAATATTTGAATTCACCTTAATTATACAATAATTAATATTATATTTTGTTTGTTTATATGGCTTTAAAAATTTTGGTTTACTGTTGTGTTTCACATTTTTCATTTACTTTTCTTCTTAAATATAATCATATAATATTATTATTACATTGATTATGAATTATAATGATATTTGTTAATTAGCCTCATTATCAGCCTTAGTTACGACGAATCTAATCAATACGATCAATACGATCGACTATTCAGGCTTATCAACTACAATATTTGAAATGCGCAATTACACGAAATTACAAACATTCAAACGCAGTTGCAATCGCAAGTGTAATTCTTAGAATATGTTACGCTTATCACGCTTGTCAATGTGTGTATGTGTGCACATGCATAATGAAAAAACTTGCATTTTTAAATGCATGGAAACAAGAGTCGAGACTGCTCGACTAGGAAAAACCCTGCAAAGAGCTGGTATGCCATTCATTCTGCACTTCTTTTGTGCAGACATAAATACACATGCACCCACACGCACTCATAGCCATTCCAATACTTTTTACCAAAATTAAACAGTATCGTCTGTACTTTAGTATTAATTTATGGTATTTACCAGGATATATAATGGAAATACAAAAAGGCCTACAAAAAAGTTTAGTTTTGTTCGATTTGATCCTAAAGGTAACTAGGTAAGCTCTAGTCGAAACTGCTCGACTACGAAATCCCCTGAACCCTTCGAGCAATAGCTATTTCAATAATTTTTCGCGTCTTTCTGCATGCGATCTTCATGAAACTTTCAGATTATGATCCTAACATGTATTTGCTAAAGCTTTTTACAATTTTAGGGGTGAGGAGGTGAATATAAGCGTGGGAATAAATTTTGACATGATTAAACAAAAAATTTAGGTCTCTACCTCTTATATCTTCTGAAATCGACGCGTTCAAACATACTGACAGACGGACGAACCGACAGGGCTAAATCAACACAGCTCGTCGCCCTAATCAAGAACATGTTGACAATTTTCCAGACTTTTTCATTTCCAAATAAGCTAGATCTAGCCATAAATAGGCTTAAATGGCAACACAGCAATGCTCAATCGTGCACCTGCTGTGTCCTTTAACAGTGGGCCTCGACGATAAATAAAAGGAGGACTATTAACATAACATGGACAGGAGTAATTCCTTATGTGCATGATCATTTTGATTTTTGTTTTATTTTCGGATACCTGCCCCCAATCGAAGAGTTGTCTAACTGCGAGATAGGCGTCAAAGTAGATTGCATATACGTATGTGTATTTCCTGAATAACTGTATAGATAAATAATTTACGTATATCCACTTGAACATTTGACATTATGCTAACTAACTAAAGGAGTATATGAGTTCTGTGCAATGCTGTTTATCCACTCGTGATCAAGTTTTCGAATATATTTCCGTGTGCATTTTCCCCTCAGATGTCTTGCTATTTATACTAGCTCGCAGGCGAATGCCATTTTATGTTTGCAGCTCGCCGTTGCCATGATGAGTTCCGATCCGATTAGCTCCAGATAGACGCAGTAGCCCGGGGGAAAGCGCATCGTGGAGTTTGGCTGGCTGTCGACGAAGTTGGAGAAGTTCATGGGATGCGGATCGTGATGCCAGTAGAAATGATTCAAGGAACTGCGCTCCACAACGCTATCGGCCAGACTTCCGCGGTGTCCGCCGCTCCAGAAGTATGGATGGATGTCGGGATGAGCATAGCGCCCCAAATAATCGGAGAGATATCGCATCTCCTCCGCAGACTTGACCGTCATCAGACGAGCACTGGGATCCAGAGTCTCGCAGGCGAAGCTGGCATGCAGCCAGTCGAGCTGCGAGTGAAGGGAAATTCAAGAGGGAGAAAGCGTCAGAGGGTCAGAGAACTTACCTCGGCGGGCACACTGAAGATGCGACCCTTGTACGATATCTTATAGTACTCGTAGGTGGGCTGGAAGATACATTTGGTTAGGAGCATTTCAGCAATTTACAGGGTATACGCACAGGCTTGTTAGTGGAGAAAAAGTAGCAGTTGTCGCCGATTTCCACAAAGGGTGTCATACAACGGGCTGCTCGAACAGGGAAGCAAAGGCAATAACTGAATTCATAGACCGACTGAACTTACGTTTCCAGAACTCCAAGTAGAAGCAAGCATAGCTGACCAATATGAGGAGCACAAGTATTACCAGCTCACAAGACTTGCCAAACATCATCATGTTCCATCCAGAGCTAAACTGCGAGGCGTATCGTAGGGCTCAACTGCTTTTATAGAGCTCGAAACCCACCCAAATCCAGGTGAAAAACTGATTACACACTATATAAGATTTCAAAAGAAAAAGGTTTTATTAGAACTGCTACAGATATCCCACAGCCCGAACCCAACACCAAGACCAGGCCTCAACACCTACTTGAAATGTTTACTAAATGAAAATGCAATGAATAGGTGCTCAATTTCCTATAAGTCTGAATTTGATCTGTGTGGAATGAGAAAGTAAACATGTACAAAAGTTTGGGTCGAATGCAGATATCTTCCGAAATCTGACCTAGATAGAGGATTTGACAAATTTTACAATGAAGATCGCAATAATCGACGTGATAAATTACAAAAACTTTTTATTCATCAAAGGTAAACACAGAGTAAGTCTGACGTCTTCAGATCTAATAGTATTCAAATAACGATACAAGATTGGTAATCGTCGCCCTGATCAAGAATATATATCTTAGATATAAAATTCTCGTGTCGCGATGTTTGTTGCCAAACTCCTCCGAAGAGAATCAGCCAGTATGTAACGGACAGAAGCAATCATCGCAGACCCCATAAAGAATATACATATATACTTTGTGGGGTCTGCCACGCCTTAATAATATAATTTTTCTGCTAATATAATCACAAGAATAATTGCATACATATGTATGCATAACAGAAACGTAGAATGATTCGTAAATATAACAATATTATGATGGATCATTAGACCCAACTAGTGCCTCTTCATCCTCTTTTGCTTTCCTTTTTGAATTCATTAATATTAATTTTACGGCTAATATAATTACAAGAATAATTGCCAGCGAATGAATATAAAAATCGGGGGTTCTAAGGATCCTGCATAATTTCTGTTGCCGTGTCTCATATTCGCATATGTAGTACTCATAGAAGCCCAATGATGTGACCATGAAGAGCTCCGAATCGATCAGCTGTAGACTCAGAAAACTGCCGTCTTTTGGGCCTTCGCCTGGCAGCCATTTGCTGTAGTCGACTGACTCCTGCAACGCGTCCCATTTGAAAGGCTCTGGACTGTGGAAGCTGTGGCCCGACGTGAAAAATTTACTTCCGTTCGCGTATCCCCGATCGATGATGTACTTCTGCAGATCATTCATTTGCGTCTCCGAGACAACAGACACGAGTTGTCCGCCGTTCGAACGACATTCCTRGCGGGCATCAAACCAATAGAATATCACTGATGCCTAAAATTATAGAGATCTTATTATTTGTTGTTTGTCGTTGTTTATACTGAGCTCTTAGAGAACCGCACATTGTCGCCCTCTCCTATGTAGTATGCGAAATTTCCCACTTTCTCAAATTCATACAGGTTTACGCATTGAATTAAACTTATTGTGAATAATATTAAGCACATACAATGCTGAAATCGTTTGTTTTCCATAGCAAAGAGATAAATGAGCAAGCAGTCTTCCTGTCACCACTGATCAAAGAACATATAAAAGCGGGAACATAAAGCTAGAACTCTCGCAGCGCACTGGTTTTGTTGTGCATTATTTTCACAGCTCGAGCCTCAAGTTGTAAATGCGAATTTACGAGGAGAAAGATTATAGCTTGTTGTGACTTGCATTTGTTCATATTTCTTTGTTGTTGCTTACAGATAATTGTTTATTTGATAATGTTATCGACTGGACTTTGCTCATGAGGTCATATACATACATATGCAACTCTCTTGATTTAAAATACAAAAAATACAAAAATATCAAATCTTCAAAAGCCGGGATCTTAAATGTATTACTTTCTGACTCATGAAAGATACTTCATAATCTCTACCTTCCTCACTCTCTCTGCTGTTATGAGGAATATGTGAAATAATTAAACCATTCTCTTCGAGTGTTATCCAGAGACTGCAGATCCCACGCTGCAGACCAGTCCATACATAGGTGGCCGATCATATTACGGCACTGACGCATAGTTGTTATAATATAAACAAAGCAACAAAGTGTTGCTATGAGTATGATACCCTTACTTAAGTTGGGCATATGCTTATTTAACATACAGCATACGACTTCAATTGACGAGCGGAATGGCGAATTATTTATGGGTGTAGCATTGTCATGCTAGAACCGTACTGATTTGCTTTATTGCGTAAAATTTCGAGTCTAATTGACGATAATTTTCTGTTAATGTAATCATAACAACTGAACCAAAATAAGTCTGTTAAAAGTTGGCAGAAACTTGGAGCAGTCATCAATGCTTGGGGGCTGCATCCTGGCCATCGGTAGCCTGGCAGCGCGGAAAGACGCTACTCTCGTAGGTCGGCACCATGTACTTGATGTTGATGAAGGCGTTGGGTCCGCCGCAGTACTCGAGCAGCTTCAGGGTGTCCTCGATGACATCGCCGATGCGCTTGCTGCGGTCCGGGTCGACGCCCTCGCCCAGATTCACGTTGACATTCTTGTAGAGGTTGCACACGGCCAGCAGCTGGCGATAGAAGGGAACCAGGGCTTGTCCCACGCAAGGACCTGGAAGGTAGCGGAAATTACACTGAACGAACGAATCGAGTAAGGCGCATGGAGAACTAACCCAATCGAACCATCAGCTGCAGCACCTGGAGCGCCGAGATGATGATGCGTTTGTCCCGAGTCTGGAAGGCTCGTTTGAGGGGCAATATAAGCTTAGGCAGCACTGGGAGCACTTTGTGCGGCTGTCTCATGATCAGATCGACGGCTGCATTGACCGCCAGCATGCGAGTGTCGCTGTCTATGTCAGCCAGCCCGTCCAGAAAGATGGGCAAATAGTAGCAATAGTCGAGCTCCTCGGGTGTGCAGTGCCAGCGCAGAGGGCGGTCCTTGGTGGGATCCTGCTTATTGCTGCGTCCGGACAGAGCCACGGGGATGTCGCCGCGCATGAAGTAGATCTTGAAGACAGTCTCCTTGACGGGCTGACGCTTAAATATATCAATTCTGCAATGGAAAACGAGCTGCTGTAGGCCGTAAGCCGATTCACAGTGGAACTCAACTCACTTGTTGGGCGGCTTGACCACTGTGCCCTTCTGCAGGGCCTGGTAGGTAAAGGCGGGCACCTCGCGCACGGCCTGGCAAGGGGAATAGATCAGGAGGAGCTACTCGGCATATCGCATGACTACCCTATACCTACCCGCTTGGAGCGCAAGTAGAGCAGCTCGCGGCAGATCCTGCCCGGCTCGTGAATGCGCTTGGCCCGCTCATGCAGGTCCGGGCACTTGTTGGGGTTCATCGTGGCTGTGTGTGTGTGCGTAGTGATTAGGTAACTTTCTCGCACTGAAAGTATATTTTTATTTTAAATAGAACAAGACGTTTTGAGACTGCGGCCAAAATATTGTTGATTGAATGGGCTATGCTGTGCGAATGCCGAGGATCTGTATACAAATAGTGTTGCCTCACAGCCTACTCGCCCGACGAACAGAAATGTTAGTCCAAAAATTACTCGAGTAAATATACAAATATATTCACATCTATTTATATACATATATACTATGGCATTCCCTTATCAAGACGTCAGCAGGCAGCCAAAAGGCAGACACGTGGGCCAACTGGGTGGGAGGGAGTCAACACCTAAATGTCTCTAAAGAGTCATAAAGGGAAAGTGCAAACATTTGCGCACTTTATCATCTTTTCCATTTCCATGTTACGGTAACTGTAAATATTTTGTAACGCCACCAATTACGTCGTCAACAGGAAAGACTCCACAGTCTCCCCACAGCCTCTCAGCCCTCAATCACCCACCCACCCAACCACTCGCCCACTTTACGTTCGCTTCTTTAAGCGCATTAACCCACATTGGTCTCTGCTGGGTGCGACAGAGACACGTGACTTGCCTATCTATCTGCGTTTTCTATCTACCCTCCTCTATCCATCCTCTTCCTCTCTCTCGCCAGCTGCTTGGCTCTTAATTAATTAAAATTCAACATGCGAATTAGGTTTCATCTGTGAGCCGTGAGCTGCCTCCGCTTCCGTCTCCACCTCCTCCTCCTCCTTAACGTTGACTTTTTTAATTACCCACGCACAGGTTTTCACTTTCATTCAACGTCGTTGCACGTCGCGATTTATCCGATTTTATAATACGGCACGACTCTCCGGCCACTGCACGAGAATCGAGCTGGAAGCGATTAGGATAATGGGCCAGGCAGAGGCATCCGAGATGACAAGCTGGCGATATCCCATTTTGTTGGCTTGTTAATTGTTCCAATTGAAGTGTTAATATGACGAGAATGTGGACTACATATAGATACAAAAGTTACTCAGAGGCTAGGACAAGTTGGTTCGACATGGGCTGTTAAATGACTGTTACTTAAATATGTACGAATGTTAGCGGCATATCTGTTAATATTTGCATGCGCTGTTAAGCGACTTTTATATTTTATTTAGATAAAAAATTAAAAATATTTTCGTAATGTTTTTGAAAGTATTTAAATAAAGATCATATTACATGAAAATGAGCATAGACTTTCCTTCGATATAATTGATTAATTTCTGAATATAAATAAATTTATTTCATTTCAATCGGAGTTTTCATTGAGAAGATATAACTTTTTAGCTGTCTAAAATTAAGTATATATTTATTTAATAAGATGTATAGAGTCCAATATGAAATAAGCTTAAAAATATAATTTCAAAGCCTAAAAAAGTACAAAATGTATGCAATGGTATCATCAACCCCATGATATGATATGAAGTCCGTATTAGAATCAGCAGATTAATCGCTTTAGATTAATTTTTTTTTCTATACTTTTAATATAAGCTGAAGATTTTCTATAGAGCTTTAGCGATATAATTTGTATCCAATGATATTAAAAGTATTTTATAGAATAAAGCACTTTCTAGAGAGGCCTTCGGCTTATAATTTGTATACATTCTCCATTATTTACTTTGTATACGTTTTCCATCTTTGGCATATTTTGTATATATACTTCTTAGCTATATAAATATTTTCAGTTGTTTACTTTACTTTTACTTTCAGTCGGATGAAAATCTAATAATATTGAAATTTGAAGTATAACTAACCCTGCGTGCCCAGTTCTTCATATGCATTCTCAGCATTACATAGCTTAGCACTAAAATGGACTCGGATGTGGCATCAACTAGGCAAACTCAGTGTCACCTATCAGAGAATTATTCAATAATAATGTCAACATTTTACGGCTTTTAATCGACTATTTTCGTTGCGCGGCCCACGTAAAACAAAAGCAATCGTTCGGCGATTCTGTCTGGGACACATTTTAATGACAGGACAGACCACACGCTGTTAGGCTCGATGCATACAAAAGGTATACTAAAAATCGGCCTGATCATAATTTATTGGCCAAAGTGGAAAGCATTTTCAGGGGCTCATCACAAAGGGGGACGCAGCTCAGAACAGATGGGGGAGTGGCTGGTTCAATGATGTCCTCTGGTTTGGGTCCGTTTGTCTAGCTGACACTTTCATTAACAAAAACTCAGAGCGATGACAATCAATGCTCTCTCACTCTGTGTGTGTGTGTGTGTGTGTGTGTGAGTGAGTGTGTATTTGTGTGTTTGTTTTTGCATTGTTGCAGAGTGCAACTGGGGTTGGGTCCGGGTATAGGGTTCGTTGGCTGTCACACCTCTTGATGGCCATACGCCCGACTCTGTCTCCGTCTCTGACTCCGACTGTCGTCGGACATTGCTGCACTGCGGCACGTAAATCTAAACAGCCACTGACAGCTTTCAACTGACCTCCAGCTCCAGCTTCAGCTGGATCTCAGCTCTCCATTGCCCAACCACATCGTAAGCGCCTTTTTATGTAGCAATACGTCTGGTTTGGGGGTTTGGGGGCGGTAGCCAAATCGGTGGGCGGCTGTCACACATCTTGAGCGTTACACCAGCTCTGTATCTATATCCAACACACACACACGCATACACAGGCAGTCTATATATGTGTTTGTAAGGCTGTTTTGCATATAGCCGGGTTGTTTGTCTGAAATTGACATCGCTTGCTGCTGCTCCTGGGCCAACATCATCGTCAGCGTCATCGGACTGGACATCGCCATCAGTTTCCATTGTTTTGTTTCGTCATCAACGTAACGTTGTCTGCTGAAGATTTTATGTATGCTCGCCTACATTTTGAGCGCTTTATTGTTTGCTAAAATTCTGGCAGTATCGAGTAATCGAACATCCTAACATCCATTCGAGTGTCCGGCTCTATCTGTGTAGGTGTTAATCTAATAACTGTCAAATGCAGCATGCGCCTCCTCCTCCACACACACACAGCCAGCCAGTGGATACATATTGTTTAAATGGCTTTTGTATTACGAATAAATTGCTCTGCAAATTGATGTTTGAGCCTGAGAGCTGGTTTCGATGGGATCCCAATAGAAGCTGATACATATATAAATTGGCTGTATCCTTTTAGGTCTGTATCCTTTCGGGATATCGGGGGATTTTTGTACACTATGGAGGCTATGCATGGAAATAATATTTATTTGAAATATATTTATAATATAGGAACTGGCAGATGCTCCAACTCAGGA